GCAATCAAACTTGGATTTGCACTTAGATAAAACCTTGAAATAATTAACAGTTTCAGTAGCACTAATATAATGATCTTTTAAATGTTGTCCTATGTTACCTTTAGTCTGCATAATCATTTCTTATTTAAAATATAATTATTTAATCAATCAGTAACTTGTGTTTTTTTAATGAAATTAATGATTTTCTTTAAAAAGATGCAACCCAAGGCGAGACTTTTTTATACCTTGTTTGACGAACTCGCTGACTATTGACATTTTACTGTACTGTGTATTCCTACTAAGAAGTTTCTAATACTAATTTAACAGCGTCTTTTTTAACGCATGCAATGTTACTATTTTTAAAAGTTGCTTTGTAAGTTACAGTATTGTAACAATTTATTGCCAATATTATTATTATTATTATTATTATTATTATTATTATTTCATAAAACAAATGAAATAACCAATAAACAAATTAAGGTTCCCGTAAAATAAGGTGTAACTGTAGTTTCTGATTTCATAACTAAATATACAGTATTTAAATATTTGAAGATTTAAAAAAATATATATCATTTCTATTACCGAATTTTTCATTGAGGCCATTTTTACCTACCTGTCATATAGGGCCATTTTTTCCGGGGCCATTTTTTCCGGGGCCATTTTTTCTGGGGCCATTTTTCCGGGGCCATTCTTACCTACATTCCTTTTTTATTGCTATTATGATCTCGAAAATCACTTGTTTCTCTTTGCAAAATTCAAGGAAAAATACTAGGATATTTTGTTGTTTTATTATGGTTTTTCCCACAAAAATTAAATAACATGAACAAAATAGATTTGATCGAAAATAATATTTTCTTAATAATTAATAAGAGTAAGTAACTATATAATCTTAATTACATTTTGATATTTAGAGGCCTACCGGTATATGAATAGGCTTAGGCCTATCTGATAGACATACTTACTGTAATGAATTTTTGCTGGTTGTCATATATAATTTATTTCGCCAAAATAACAGGAGCAACTTAAGGGTCTAGATGTCAGGATTTCCTAATTGAAGAATACTTGCCATCGAGGGGTTCATCTCCGTCTATCGACAAGGATTAATGAACTGCTTACAAATAGTAAATTATTACAGTATATATAATATAAAATTGGATATAAAGTAGTGAAATCATAAAAAAATATCTATAAATATAGAGTTATATAAAAAAAGATTAAAGTACAGGATGCCGCTAATTTATACACAGGCCTAGGAACGACAAACAACGACAAACGACGTTTGACATGGAATGGCTAATTTTTATGTCACAACTCTTTCCATAGTGGTTGTGATTCTTATTATATCTCTATGGATCGCATACATAGAATGTCTCCCTCTTTAGTTTTATCAGTCGTTGTCAAAGATCTTTGGTCGTTGTTTAGATTCGGATCCTAAACATACGTACGTACGGATGCGACAAGTGTTTTTTTGTTTGTCATATTTTATAAAATAATATAAATATTTATGGAGGTTGAAACGTGATCAGATTTTGGAAAATGTAAGTAAACACGTAGGCCTATGTTAAACCCTTTCTAGGCCTAGACTACTACTAGTTCTAATGAGTGGTTTGGCGTGGGCCTAGGCCTAGGCAGTGTTACTAGGCTTCGCTTGCCTTTGGCCTAGCCTACTGTGTAGTAGGCCTAGGCCCTAGCCCAGTCACTAGGCCTAACCTCTCTAGGCCTCCTAGACTGCCTCTATCTAGGTGCTAATTTCTAAGTTGTATTTTATACCACAGATCCCACAGACCTTAGTTAACACAGTTTACAATTAGCTCTTAGGTCTAGAGTCCTAGCTAAATATGTTTAGGCTAGGCTAGGCCTCCTTGCCTAACTAAGGCCAATTCAGACAGTGTCGAACGACACAGCCCGACGCGATTCATCGTCGGGGAAGTCTTGAGCCGTTGTGAGAAATATTAAACATGTTTAATATTCTATGACGCGACTGCCCCGACACAAACCATTGCGTCTGCGTTAAACTCGCACAGACTCGACGTGACAACAAATCGTATGACGCTGTCTGAGTTGGCCTTTCTTTAGTATGTTTATTGCGGACGACCCCATGCATGCTCGCACACTACCAGACTCATAGGCAGGATATGGGGGGTGCGATACCAGCGAAGCGGACCTTTATACCAATTTTGTCCCCCCCCCCACACACACACACAAGTCGGCCCAACAAATTAGTGTTCTGGTAGCCTTATTTAGTCGGTTTCTAAAACCCATAATTCTATATAGTATAAATTCTATTTGAAATTTCCTCTAAAAAACGGACACCTAAAAAATAATGTTTTATGTTCATTACAAATTACACCAGGCTATCTGCTCATAGGGAGCTGTAAATTTCCAACAAACTTGTATCACATTTACTGAAAATCAATGTTTTCTAATAGAGGCTTGTTGCAATAAAGATAATTTGACAGTATTACAATACAGCCAGCTGGGCTCAGTTTTTTGAACAACTACGCCAAATCTATGCATTTTAAGTGCAAACAAGAACAAGATAGATATGGAAGCAAAAAATCACTTTAACACTACTTCTTAGAAGTTTTTACAATGATATGAATAGTTTGCTATAAATTATGCCTATACATATTTACTAATACGTTTTAGCACACATCGACTCTTTGCCCATGCGTCAATAAAATGAAAAAGAGAATAAAAAACATTCGTAAAACTTTTTTTTGTTAAGTATCTCTTATTACCGTCTAGTAGCTAAACTTCTTGCATATAGCACGGTAGTTGTTAACAACTATGTACTAGAGATACCATCTCATCTTGTAGGTTTTCTGGTTTTCTTGATGATAGCCATCTATGACAGCATAGTTATCATCCCGTCATTCAATGGTACTATCAGAGATCAAGTAATCTTCGCAATATTCCTTTTGTGTTTCCAGGTAAGGTCATCCTGTGTCTATCTAATTCTAAAGCCGGGCACCTATTGCGTTGTACGGCTGTCGTACCACAAATCCAACTCCGCTCCCCGAGACTGCAAGACAGTACCACGCTGTCTGCTGATTGCCGGTGGCAGTCTGAACGGGTCGTCATTAACAAAGACCTATTGCGCGAGCATTGTGGCATCGCATTCTCCATAGAATCTTGTCAGACACAGTGAGTGCCTGGCTGAAAGGTACAATATTACAAGATGTGCCCTTAACCATCTGCTGCCCTCAACTTGCATAAACTTCACCATATCTGTAGTCTGTAGTTATTGTTTATACTTCCAAAACTAATTTCAGATGTACAAACCATCAGATATTGCATCCCAAAGTAAAATGAAATTTAAAATAACAAATATAAAAAGGGAAAAAAAAGGAAAGTCATATTTAAGAATTGATTTTCATAAATTGTTACATTTGATATATCATTCTGTTGGTCTAAAGCTACAAAACAACAACCCAGTATAAACAAAATCATCAAACTGAAAACAGCAAGAAATATAATAGAAACTTATTTGTAACAAACCAATTTTTTTAAAAATCTAACATCATCCCTTAATATTTGTGTACCAACAATCTAGTAAAATCAAACAAAAAAACACATATTGAAATTATATTGAGAAATTCCTTATTTGTGCTACTCAGATATTATTTACTGTATTGAGTTTTAGATTTTTATTTGCTATACAGAGAGATTTGTGAAGATCTGACCTGTTATTAATAATCCCTTTTGATCATTTCCTGTATTTTAACAGTTTTGCATGCTGAACTCAGCAGGATACCATCTGTTCTGCTGTCGATCAGAGCTGGCATGTAAGAGGTGGTTTAGCCTAGACCTAGCAGGCATCTCAGTTGGTCTTCTTGGATGCTATTTTCCTGCAGTGTTTTATGCCTTCTCCTGTTTCCCTGTAAGTTTTTCGACATTTCAATAGTTTAGTTTAATTCAGTCTTTTAACACTCTATGAGGGGGGACTCTTGCGGCAAGTAAACAGCACACTGGCAATCGAATACACAGTAGGTACCAACTTTTACTTCTTGGTTGAATGAAACAACTGTAATATATCTTACCAAAGGACACAGGCAAAATGCTCTCTGTGGCTTATGAACGCTCGAATTGTAACTAATACACAACCTGGCCCAACAACATTCCATATTATCTTTACTCAACTTTACCATGTGATGGATTTATTAGGTGTAAACACCAAGGATAGCCCATGAAAGTCTGAAGAATACTTATTTCCAGTGGGGTGCTTCTGGTGGTGATTGAGCAGTACACCAAGAGACAATCCCCTACTATAATTCACATGGGACCAACAGCTTAAACATCTTGCATTTCAGCCATCCAGCTGTAAAAACAAGGAGAGCAGCGATGGGAATTAAACCGGGGACCAAGAGATCTCCACGGTTTAGCACACACATATTGGCTACCCAGTATTGAGTATCAGATAATAAATGCAAATAGTATTAACCATTTTTTAATATTATTTGTATTGTAGGTATGGCGTGATGTATACTTGGTTGTTGTTTGTTGTATGATCCTTGTGACACTGGTGCTTCAACTTCATCCTCTCTTCCTTACATCCTATTGGTCAAGCAAACGTCTAATAGCCCTCTGTGCAGTGGTAGCTTTCGGTATAATACCAGCCTCTCATTGGGTAGTTCTACAAGGTGGCTTTGACTCTCTTATTGTTCAGGTAAAGGTACAATACATAAAATCTGATGTACTGTATTATTGTGTTTAATTTATTCATTTCTAATATATTTTGAAGGATATACTCAATGTGAATACACATACATTTGTTGTTAATTAAACTTAATAGTAATAATAAAAATAAAGTAACTATTCCCATAAAAGAAAACCCCCACCTACTCAAGTTTCAAAGCTGGTTATCTGTTTCAAGCTTCAGTGGTAAAGTTAATACTGGTTATTAAATTCTTTTTGCAGATTTTTGGACCTAAAGTTATAATAATGTATATCCTTGGAGTGTTGGCGTTATTTTTTTATGCAACTAAATTTCCAGAGCGCTGTTTTCCAGGTAAGAAAATGCAATAATGATACTAAACTCGTTGAAAATGAAGACTACATCTTATCCTCTTTTATGCATTTTGTTGCTATTATTAATAGTACAGTAATAATATGAGGGTTTCCATCCAAAAACTAGCATCAGTGACCAGAAAAATAAAAAATTTTTAATTTTAATTTTTTTAATATATTCATATTCTCCACGTTATTAGCTTTAAAATGATGGGTCGTTTACTGGAATCGACGTATTGTTGCCAAAGTTATGAGTAAAAATATTACCGCTTCTTTGTACTAAAGTACTGTATACAATACTGCGACGTACTGTTGCCAAAGTTATGAGTAAAATATTACCGCTTCTTTGTAGTAAAGTATACAATACTGGCACATTCTTATGCTAATTACTAAGGTTTACGTGTAATGAGAGTATGTTGGTTTTATAGGTAAAGGTAGGAGAATAACCTTTAACTCGTAGCATTGTTGTGCAGAATTGCATATGGGCGTGGGCTATGGCTACCTGGCCGCCGTAAAGAGGTGCTTATAATAGCTACATGTTCACATCATTCCACAACAACAGGAGCTAAAATGAACCTAACATCGGGGTAACCCTCTACTCTTCCGAAATAAAGTGCATACAAGCCAGATGTATACAATGGACCTCCATTTTAAGTCCTTATCCTAGAAGACTTGGTTTTACCAACCGAATTAGGATGACAAGCCTCATATGTCAGTAATATAGAGCATGTCATACCAAGCAAGGCCTGTATTTACTTCTAATTATTACCCCCGGTCATTGGATCAAAAGGCTATGGAACACATACTCATCTCCCCGGAAAGAATTCCATATTGTTGCACCTAGTATTCAGCAAATTTTATGTTCAAAAGGTAAAGTGCCTTGGCTGAGGGCGCGTGTGACAAGCACCCAACCTTAAGGTTGAGATTTTGAGAACCTGCGTCCCAACCGCTGCACCAACTGTTCCCACAATATTCAGCGGGTTTTTTTTTAAGGCCCTCTTCACACTAACAACAGTTTAATGTGGGTGTTAATGTCATACCTCACCCATATATGGGAAAATCACAGGTGTTTGTCACAAAAACCTTCATACAGTTTTGAATGGAAGCTTACCATAAGCCGGGTACTCACTGCATCGTACAACGGTCATACGACTGTCGCACGGCGAACTTAACTCCGCTCCGACACAGCAATGTATGGTGATTGCCAGTGGCAGTCTGAATGGGTCATCATTAAAAACGATCCATTTTGTGCACATCGTGCCCCGGCTTTAGTGATGCTTATTTTTAAGCAAAACATCTCGGTAAAAAAATTACTTGAGTGCCCTGTCCACACTATAAAATTTTATGTGATGTGCACATATATGGGCATGATGATGTCATATTACACCCAAATATGGGTATTCACATGTATTTTTCAAATAAAGTTTAATAGTGTAAACAGAGCTTAATAAATTTGTGATTTTTTGTAATGGTGCTTAATGTCTTGACAGATAGACTGCCGATCACTGTATTCTTGTAATGAGTTCTAGGCATGTTCCGAGTATCAAAAAAAAATCGCTAGCAAGCATATGAATGTTCATTTTAATTGAAATGTATGAGGATAATAGAAATAATATACTACCCAGTAAATTGCAGAAATCTAATTAACTGTAATGTACCGAGAAATTTATTTTTATATTAAAATATTGTACCAAGTTGTCATTGCGATGTAACAATAATAAATAGGTTGTTCTACAGTGACCGTTGCGACGTTTGAAATTTATTACTCAAATTGTCTTCAAGAGAATGAATATTGCACTAATGCTCCTTCCATAACTATCTATGTCATGTACAGTATTGATGACATGCATGGCATTTTGCGAAACGCAGTGCCCGCAGGTAAAATGAGCCTGTTTTGCCCGCATGTTTATTGGTACATTATACAGAACTCAACCTGCTTATTATTTACTTCTGTATTTTACAGTATAATTGATTTTATCCTGTTTGTACTGTCACATAAATAAGTTCACTTCTTGAACAAAAGCTTATGATTTTATTAATATTTATTCTTTCTTTATGAAGGGAGAGTTGATTATGTGGGGTCGAGTCATCAGCTATGGCACATGGTGGTGGTATTCGCATTCTTGTGGTGGCATCAAACTGGGGTTACTCTAATGGAATTCCGTGATAAGCATCCTTGCGAGGAACAGTTACCAGGTGCATGACGAAAATCCAAAGAAAATCAATGTGTCAAAATGACAATATATATTATTTATTACGAACATTGATATTAACTGAAACAAAATCAGTAGAGCTACCTGCCCTGAACGCACAAAAGCAGCTAAAAGCATCTAAATCTGTCACCAAATTGGCGTTACAGAAAGAATACAAAGCGTGATCATCCGTAGTTGACTTTTTTAACAAGATCTTTCATGGGCAGTTTGGAAATACTGATCATGAATCTTAAATTTTATCTGAAATATTTGTACTTACAGTACTACTACTTACATGGTACTTGGTAGTAGTCCTCTTGAATATTCCATGCTGAATTTTGACATTGGGGATTGAAGAGTTGCACTGTTTGTTGTTTCGTACAGTACGTTAAAAACAACCTACTTGCATGCAAATATAGTAAAACAAAAGCAAGTTGGGTTTTTCCTAATTCTGTTACCATTCATATACATTATGATGGAGTTTTAAACAAAGTATAACAATGAAATATTGTATGTTCTAATACTGGGTACTGTTTCTTAGCATTTAAATATGTACATAAATTTTATGGGTACAGTTTTATGAAATTGGTCCAAATTCTTACCCTAGTATTTTACCTCAATGTTTTACCCCTTTGCTAGTATTTTTTAACATGCTACATAAATGAAGTGCAGTGACGGATCCAAAACTTCAAAATAGAGAGGGCCCAGGAAGGGGGGTTTCCTCAGCTCCACCATGGTTGGGGCTGAGGCAAGAAAATTTATGATTACATGGTACCACTAGATGGCTGGAAATGGCACTCTATGAATTATAATTTGAAAATATTTTCTCCATTTGTTTTTATTTTGAAAATTGTAGGGGCCCTTGGGCCGAATGGGGCCCCCTTGAATCCACCATGTGAAGTGTTTCCATTGATTTTGAACGTGGAATGTTTCATCATTATGGCCAACATACACAGTACTGTATTAAATGAAATATGTAACCCTCAGGCATAAGTAAAATATTGTATTTATAGTCTCGAATGTAAACACTTTTAAATTTTCTGTATTCAATGTGTGTTTATACTGCTTTCTTTTATGGCACTACAATTATTGTGGAGATAGTGGGGTTCTCTTTTGATGCACAGTACCAATCGCAGGCAGTGTGTTTTGCAGGACAAGATGCTCACAGGCAAAACCAGCCCATTCTGCCCTTGAGCAAAATTGTCTTATCTTGCATGCTGCAGAGTGCCTGTGAGCTAACTGCTTTGATACTTTACTACTGTGACCATAACATGGGCAATGCTGTCCGCATCATTCAGTACTTTGTTGATACTTTAGTTACTACAGTAGAACCTCGTTATTACGTACCCCAGTTATACAAACCCTCGGTTTTACGTACGCCTCGTATCGACGATGACGTCATCAAAAACCCCGAAAATATTCAAGACAAACGGCCCTTTTCAGAGCAACCATTCTTAAAAAGACTATAACAATAAACTATAACAATAAACAAACCATAATGCAACATATTTTCATTAAACAGCAACATTAATTAATAATAATAATAATAAGTTAGATTTGTAAAGCGCAAAATACATAGGGGTCTATATGCGCTAGAAATTTGCAAATTAAAATAAACTAGAGAGAATTGAGTCTAAAACCGGGTTGTTATAATCTAAAACCACGTGAACTGAGTGAGATGAACAACTACCGGTGGTGCTCAAAATAACTGCTTTCCTCCTTAGCTTCGTGTAGCAAACCATGGAAAAACTTGTCTAATTTTCTACACGAAGCCGAGTAGGCATAGTATCGTACACGAACGCTAATTGGTTGGCTCACCCAGTGCACATGGGTTTAGTTTGTCTTAACAGACCCAGACAACACCACAGCTCTGTTGTTTAGAATAGGCATGAAGGGGAATTCCCAAGTTATACCTCTGTCGTATAGGTAATCTTACAATATTTTCATGTTCTTTAGTTAAATAAAAGATATAAAGTGATGAATTAATACACTAGACACATGGTTTTATTTGAACACTTTATTATGACATCGTAAATTGATGAATAAAAACACTATACATGGTTTTATTCGTAGGCCTAGAGGCTAGGTCTAGCCTAGCAAGGTAACATCGTTCGTTCATACATACGTATATTGAGCGTTACGTACGTATTAGGTCAAAGGTTACCACAAATTTAACCCAACCTCTATTTTACGAATCCCCCAATTTATGTACACCCTCCGGTCCCGTACCGTACGTAAAATCGAGGTTCTACTGTACTGTGACCGTAACTTCAACAACACTGTCCGTATCATTCGCAATAAGCAATGTCATGCTCTTTTTGAAATCATGACATTGAGCACTACGGGCTGGCTTTATGCATGTGGACAGTTGGTGGGATATGGAACATGTTGACTGAGGGCCAAGAGTGGGAAAAAATGCACTGCTTGTGACTAGTACTGCAGTACTGATGGTAATATTAATTTGGTCTTGTTTGCAGTAAGTAATTGTGACATAGTTTCACTTAAATTTCAAGTGTGTAGTTTCCATATAAACTTTTCAATAAGGGAGGTAACAGTAATAATAATAATAATAAATGTGCAACAATTATTTAAATGCTACAGTACGCAAGATTTTTGTACACATTTACAGTTTTTTTATTCCATATTTAACATAGATAGATGTTTATTTTTAGGCCTTCATGTAGCAAAATAAGCATCATTCCTCACAGGGCTGGTTTATGCCTAGAGATACAGGGTATGCATACATGTAGCCATTGCTGATGATGTATGGCAAAACTCTGATAATCATGCAGCTGTTTATATTCCACTTGCTGTAATAATTTTTTACTTTTTTTCCTTTTAATTCTTTATGTTTTGTAAATAATTTATTCAAGGAGTAATTTATTCAAAAAGTGTGTACTGTATTTCTAATGGTTTGCATTGTTGTATACTGTACTTTTATTCTCCAGCTGAAAATGTATTTAATGTGGATCAGTGGCGGACCGTAGGGTAAATTGCAGGGTATGCTATAGGTATTGGCATATCTAGGATTTGCGAGGGCCGCGCACGCCCCCCACCCCGAAAAAAATATTCGCCCATCCATCCACAAATCATGCTTAAGTACAGTAGTTAAAGTCACCTCAAATCACCTTATTTTGCAAGTTAGCTTCCTCACCTAATCACCAATCCGCCACCTTCCCACCCTCATCAGCTCCCTTTCATTTCAAAACCCCTATGCCACTGATGCTAGGGCCTGCTAGTAGGAAAAGTTTACTATACAGAATCAGATTGTGTCCTATAGTCAAAATACAAATGTATGTTATTTTTAATACCGGCACGGTTGTACTGTAGTATCTTCTCTTCAAAAGAATTCCTATTCCTCTATTTTAACAAATTTGAATTTAAATAATAATTCTTCAAAATTTCTTCTATACCGGTCGTATGTGTGCAAATTTATTTAAACTTTAATTGAGATTATTCATATTATAGATAGAATACCCAATCGGCAGTGGAGAGTCCCAATTTGCGAGGAGAGCATGCGCACATACTCTTGGAAGCACCGCTTCCATTCCATTGCTAAATTGGCTATGCTGATACCACCACACGGATGTCACAATAGCAAATTTAAGCATTGTAGGGTATGCAGTAACTTATCCTAGATACCAGAGTAGGCCAAACATTGAAAAATTTTGGTATTCCAATGAACTGTAGCAAAATTAAGGTTTATATAGAAGATTCTGACTGAAAAATGCTAAATAAAACGGAGAAACTGTACTACTATTTTTTTTTTATTTGTTTTAGCCGGGGTATGCACTGCATACCTTGCTTGCCTTGACGGTCCGCCACTGATGTGGATGCTATTTTAACATGTTTATTTATTAAAGGAAAAAGTGCAATCCATTGTTATTAGAACAGCCAAATGTCAAATATTGTTTCAGCAGCTTATGTTTTCATTTCTTTCTCTGTTACTTTACTGTATTTTAATAAAAAATGTTCTTGTTAAATTTCAGTTAAGCGAGTCTCAGATTAACACGTTGACTGCCAGACCTTTTTAAAGTTCCTTCCCCTGTGCCAAAACAAATGGGTCCAACATATTGGCGGGAAAATATTAAGGACAGTATTTTTTTATTGTCCCTGCCAAGTGTGAGTTTTCTCGTACACTTTTTGGGTTGGTATATGTTCAGAGACCGGCCCCACTCGTGTAATTTAGTGTACTGCTGGCAAAATAACACAACAACCATTCAAAAGTTATTTGTATGTTATTGTCTAGATGTACAGTATCTTTCCCGAACTACCACCCGTTAAGTCTGTGGTTCTACAAAGTGTGACAAAGAAGTAATAAATGCTAGAATGCAATCTTACTTTCATTCATCCATTTGCCCGCATTGTGGCACTACAACATTCATCTATTCATTTAATTCCCGTGTATTGGTCATCCTTTCCACGTCAAATTAAAGAAGATGCTGTCATTTGCACCCTTAAAGTATTTTTATATAGGTTTAAAGCGTATCTTTTTAGTCTTCAGATGTAGATATAATTTTAACATTTCATGCATTGTTTTTTTTTTTTTTTATAAATTTTTGGTATTTTGTCATAAAGGTAATTGCTTCTTTGGAAGTCCCAGGGCCTTTGTGTCTGATAAATAAATGAAAATGAAATGAAATGTTACCCCGATTTTGACAAGTATAGTCGTCCCTAGCACCCTCAACAACACCCTGTGGGACAAGTATAAAGGTGTTATGTAAAGCAATAAAACTTGTAGTGTATTCATTCCATTCAATTTATACAATAATAAAATAAAATTAATATTGATGGAAAAACACGTTACATTCTATTTCTTTTATGTTTTACATTCTATTTTTTTTTTTAAGGATATAAACAATCGGGGAGAATACTGCAATATCTTTTACAACATAAACTTGTAACATCGATAATTCATGAGCATGTTCGACTAAATGTAAACAGCACTTTTCTTTCAAAGAAAGATGCAAGACTTCCACCTAACCTTACCACAATATTCAATAACATATGTTCGTGTTTGTTGGCTTTCAATTCGTCTTCTGATTCTGTCTCGTCACCTGTATCGTTGAGGGCAGTACAAATAGGAATGCTTACATTCAATCTTAAAATTCTCAATATTTTCAGTTAATGTCTACATTTATTCATAGAATGTGTTCATTGTTCTATCACATTGAGCCTAACATTGTCAACTTATTCATCTAAGTGTCGATCGTTTAACTTGAGAAAGCAATGACTACGCCAGAGACACTAGCGGTCACCGCCACAACTCAGAGTTGGTTTAGTTGCCCAAGTCACATGTATGGCCGAGAATAGGCAGGCCTAGCCACTCGCCCTTAAATTTACGGCTCATTTTCTAATATAAATTACAAATGAGTACTTACCAGATAAGAATGTTGTAGGCCTATTTAGTATGCTGCAAAATTCATAATTAAAACTACAGTTGTGTTAATAATTAGGACCTATTTCAAAATGCAGGTGTAGTAAACCACGAGTCACGACCAAAATTTTAGAGGACGCTGTTCTTGACAATTTTGTAGAGGGCGATAAACTGATCAGAACTCGCATTGAAATTACAGCATTTATTTCTATAGTACTACCGTACTCGCGCGAATAAGCGCCCCTATCGAATAAGCGCCCCTCATAACGAGAAAATTTCCTTAAGCGCCCCTTTTGAATAAGCGTCTCCTTCTAATTTGAATAAACGCCCTCTCAATAACCCAGTCAATCCTGGAACTGTGGATGTTGGCCTGATTTGAGGTGTGGAGTGGAATCACATTCTCCTTTAGTCAATATCAAAGTGAGGATATTTATCTTTGACAGAATGATGAGAGCTCCCTTGACAGACTATATATTTCCAACTTTCATCCAACTACTCCTTTTCCGACAATTTGCACTTTTAACACATTCTCATCTGAGTTTTCAAGAAAACCGGCAATGATCATGCCGTCCTGCTATTCTCAATCGACCGATGGCGAACAAGCTAACCACCACCACTAATTTCATCTGCTATTCTGCTGTTATGTAATACTGTACTCACAACATTCTTGTCATGACAAGCCATATGCTCTC